ATATTTTCCCTCTCAATTGCTAGCAAGGCCAAAGAGTTATCATTATGTATAAAGATAAGGTTCGTGGTCAGCACCTGTATGAATAAACGGAGGGAGCATATCAATGGCAGCCCACCCTTAATTCAAGCTATCTTTTTGAAGAATTTCGCACGGAAAAGGTCAGTGCACCTTTGGATGCAATTATCATCATATCGGATCATGAGAGAGATTACTAACAAAGGTTTCTGTCGCCGTTAACTTGAGCCAATCTTAGTGTTCAGACACTCGTCTAACTGCTCAAAAAAAAAATTTAATTATTCAGCTCTGTTATACGCCCACACGAGTAGGCTCGTTATTGTTGTCCCAACATAGCAGTTGCCAAAGCTTCCCAAAAATGATAGCACAAAGCACTTAACATAGAGACTAACAGTCTAATAGAACTATCACTCTGGCGGCCCAACCTCGATCTGAGCTCGCTCTTCAACACAGAGAGGCTCTCTGGCGTCAATGGCGCTTCAAGAACGAGTTGAAATCCATCTAATTCTCTCTCTTGGGTATAGTACGGCTGCCACAACTATTGAAATATGGTTACGTTGTTAAAGAAATGGGCATTCTACCATTGACGCTCAAGCAAAATCAACCATTTCTTGGATTTTTGATCGGGAACATTAGAGCGAAGGTGGACCTACTATATAGATCAAACAATAATGGTCGGTCTCAAAGATCATCAGTTGATCCAAAAGAATCGGCACACCATTTATAATACAACAAGTGGAGGCTCCTTTGACATGGTATGAATTCTTCACTATCATTTCCGAACACAGACGATGGGCAGTACTTGATCTGAGAGACATCATGATCCCTATATTGGCTAACGAATCACAGTATGCATCAATAATCAACGCGCCAACAGGTTAAACAAGTACACCCTCAAAATTATGTGCACTTAATGAAGTTGCTGGGAAAANAAGATCCGACCGAGAAGATAGCTCGACTATCCTGGTTGAGCTAAAGTAGGTCCGATCGAGCAAGTAACTAGGCTATCTCGGCCGAGCAAAATTAGGTCCATTCGAGAAAATAGCTAGGCTATCCCAAAAAATTAGAGGCAATGCTAGGCATCCAATAAGGAAATTGCCTAAATCATAGGAACACATATTAGAATCTAACCTAAATCGACTAATGAGAAAGGAAACCCTATGTTCAAATGCGAATTAAGGAAATTTTGACTGGAATCTAGGTGTATCACCATATTCCAACGAGGACTATAGTCCTAAATAATCGGGACAGGTTCCTTATAAATACCAGTAAAGATTAAGTCTAAGGTACACACACTTTATCTACTAAACTGAATATACATTTTTGTGTTATTATTGACTTAAACATCGAAGTGCCTTGGTTGGTCCCCCACCGGTTTGTGGTAGTTGTTTGTTTTGCAGGTTAGGGGTGATCCCAAATGCTCATTCCAGACAAATCACTTTATTCTGATATGTGCGGATTTTTTTCTCTGTACAATTAGGATTTTCGAACTTCACTGATTTATTTTTTGGAATTTTTCTTCCATGTCAACATGACCTTGAATATAGTTGATACCCACAAGAAAGTTCACCACATCTCTCTCTCTCTCTCTCTCTCTATATATATATATATATATAGAGAGAGAGAGAGAGAGAGAGAGAGAGAGAGAGAGAAGNTCCACTACTAGTTATCTAGGATTCACCCCAATCCAAATAAGGGATAAACATCCCATCGATATGATCATTGCCTATGAAAAGGGAGGAGATAAGATAAAAAAAGGTAAGCAATCCTAACTCCAATAAGATATTCAGTCTCCTTATTCCTTTTTCTGACTTAAGCATCAAAGGTTTGACCCTTGGAACCCCTTTGGTCATTGACTTTCTATTACAGGAGCTTCCCTTGGGTGGAAGTCAGTGATCGCCTTGGAGGCTGATGGTTAATTTCTGGCATCTACAAGAGTTAATCCTTTTGTGGACTACCTATCACATGAAAGATGCCTAACAGCAGAGTACCTCCCATGAATGAATAAGATTGTGCTTTAGAGCTAATGTTTTCGTGGAGTACCTACCACATGAAAGTCCTAGCTTGGGCAACCAACCCTAAGATGGAGGGTGGCATTCATTTGCAGCTTGCTCGTAAATGCAACATCTACAAACATAAAGCTAGATGGATGCATAAGCCTCTGTCAAGGAAGAGCAACTCAAGTGGGGCATATGGCTGGCAGCATATGCCTTTGCCAAGGCAAAGGAAAAAGTCCTAAGAATGAAGTTCTAAGCAAAAGACCCGAGAAGGCTTGGGCATAAGCCAACCTATTGCTAAGGTAGGGAGAAAAAAATCTGACAGAGGTAGGAACCTAGCTCAGGCGCAACCATCCGATCAAACTTAGGCCCACGGATAGGCACGAAGGTGTAAGCCATATAGGTAATGCTTGAAGATCGAGTAGATCGGTGGATCGGTGCAAGGGTCACAATAAGTGACAAAGAATTGATGCCTGAACCCTTCAATGAGGCAGGTCCTCTTGGCTAGGGGAAGAGGACCATGATTGAAAATTTTCCAAGAACTGAATGCCTAAGCCCTTCATTGAGGTAGGATCTATTTGCTAGGGGAAAGGGACACAAAAAATTCCTTTTCATAAGGAACGATACAAGACAATTAATGAGAGAAAGAATTGTAACCAGAGAATGTCTCCCAGTGTGCCACATGGAAAATGTTATCTAGGGGCAAGTGAAGGGGTCAATAAATTTTGATCATCATTTGACAATTGGACTTGGACACATGGTAGATTGCACATGATGAAAAGAGTTATTTGGAATGACTCTATTATGGCCAAGTAGATAGCTAGGCTATCTCGTCGAGCTAAAATAGGTCCGACTGGATAGAGGATAAGATCCGACCGAGAAGATAGCTCGACTATCCTGGTTGAGCTAAAGTAGGTCCGATCGAGCAAGTAACTAGGCTATCTCGGCCGAGCAAAATTAGGTCCATTCGAGAAAATAGCTAGGCTATCCCAAAAAATTAGAGGCAATGCTAGGCATCCAATAAGGAAATTGCCTACATCATAGGAACACATATTAGAATCTAACCTAAATCGACTAATGAGAAAGGAAACCCTATGTTCAAATGCGAATTAAGGAAATTTTGACTGGAATCTAGGTGTACCACCATATTCCAACGAGGACTATAGTCCTAAATAATCGGGACAGGTTCCTTATAAATACCAGTAAAGATTAAGTCTAAGGTACACACACTTTATCTACTAAACTGAATATACATTTTTGTGTTATTATTGACTTAAGCATCGAAGTGCCTTGGTTGGTCCCCCACCGGTTTGTGGTAGTTGTTTGTTTTTCAGGTTAGGGGTGATCCCAAATGCTCATTCCAGACAAATCACTTTATTCTGATATGTGCGGATTTTTTTCTCTGTACAATTAGGATTTTCGAACTTCACTGATTTATTTTTTGGAATTTTTCTTCCATGTCAACATGACCTTGAATATAGTTGATACCCACAAGAAAGTTCACCACATCTCTCTCTCTCTCTCTCTCTCTATATATATATATATATATAGAGAGAGAGAGAGAGAGAGAGAGAGAGAGAGAGAGAAGATAAGAGAAGAGAACCTTTTGTGATTTATAGAAGAGGCTTAACCAGTTAAGTATAATAGGTAAAAGAACCAAGTATACTATCACTTGTGGACTTCTTTTGTTTAAAGAATAAGGATATTTAATTTTATGGTGATATGAAATTAATTTTGTAATCAAATGTGAAATCAATTCAAATAGTTCAAGCGGCTATATTAAAAACTCAATAGTTAAAAGGGTAAGAATATACCATAATATAATTACACATACTATTGACTATTGCTAAAATGAGTAACAATCAAAAGAGAGAGGCCTAACTACTCTCTCTAGAACATCTTTTTCTTGAGCCTTTGTCTCAGCCACCCAAGATGCCAACGACTGTCTTCTCCCTTAGCACACCTATTTCTTTCAAAATCAACACTTCTTTTTGACCATTAAACCATAGTGTGTAGTCATCCTTGGTAACCTAAATGCCCTTACCTATTCCCATCGTCTTCATTACCTTTCATATACCCCCTAGGCGTCATACTAAATAATCCTCAATCCCACCCTAATAATCAACCTTTCAGATTCTTCCCTAAAACCACACCCAGATTGTTATCAACATTCCTATCCTATTGCTAACCCAATTTTATCTATAAGATTTACCAAATCCCTTGTTACCAGCCCAAATCCATACCATAGATCGGCCAATCAGTAACCATGACTTTTAATTTCTTCGGTAATGGAACAAGAGTCAATTTCCCAAAGATAAAAATACCTGAGATTTGTCCTTGTTTACAAACTAGGGCACCTCAAAGAATGTTCAACAATTCTTCTTGGTGAGGGAAGATTATGTCTGAAATAATTTTGAATAAGAGTGGGGTTAGAAATATCCAAATGGGAGCATGAAAAATAGTTAAGGGCTTCTCTATAACCATTGGGATAGGAATATTTATATCTTTATGTTTAAGGATGAAGATGATTGGGAGAAAATTCTTGGAGAGAGCCATGGTCAGTCATGGGCAACGAGATTGTGAATTCAATAAAACAAAGTTCTAGGTGAAAATCTTTGGTTTGCCATTGGATATGATGATGAAGAACAACTCTTTGAGATTTGGACAATTTCTGGTCGTGGTGAACACTATCAAGGATATACTGATTAAATATCACTATTTGAGAGTTTGATGTACAATTGATAAAATGTAACCCCTTTTTAAGGGGTTCTATTTGATGTGAGATGATTTGGATAGATTTCAAGTATGATAGGTTATCAGATTTTATGTTATAAGAATGACAGGATTGACTATAGTAAGAATTTGTGCCAAAAAGGAAAGATTGCTTGAATTTGGCCCATAAATGTGAACCATGATGACAACATCAGCAGGTGTTTACCAAGAAAGTTGGTATAAAGAGACAACAGATCAAAAAATGCACCACAAAAGATGAAAAAAAGGAAAAAGAAAGTCGGAGATAGAGCTCTCTTATCGGTATGTGTTAGTCAAACAGTTCCGAGTGAACAAGTGGTCGTGGCACAATCTCACAATGATTTGACAGAGGAATTTGTTACAATGGACCTGTTCATTACCAGATTCTCCACCCTGAGCATGCCATGTGGATCACAGAGTACAATCCTTCTGAAGGAGCACGAATCGACAAAGGTAGTGGAACAGGGGAACAAAATTTTGAATGAGAGCAATGAACATGCCCCAACTGTCAGAGGACTTGAGGAGGTACCACCTAGGAGGAGGAATATGGTGACACATGGATGATAGGATGTAGTTGATCTTGTAAAACCTGAGAAAATTTAAAATTTTATTGTGAAAGGCAAAATGGTAATTAGTCGTTAAAGTACGGGTTGAAAATTTGAATTTTTTTAGAACTCAAATGATGAAATGGACCTCACCATTGGATTTGTCTCACAAAATCTAGTTACCCAATTAATTTTCACTAAATTTCGAGACAATAAGATTTTTTCCATTTTTGCGCAACTAAAATAAATGTGATCAAATTTTATTTGTGGAACATAGAAAATAATTTAAATTTAGTTCAATTGAAATATATTGAACATAATATGGGATGAGATTTAATTGATTCGGGATCAAATTGGACTAAACAAAAGAGGCATGTATGACGCAATCTAGGCCAAGCATTGAAGGAGTATAAAAGGGGGAGAAAAATCAGATTTTTCTCCCCATTCTTAAGCCAATTTCCGATAGAGAGAGAGAGAGAGAGAGAAAATCAAGATCTCCATCACTTCTCCTTGCGATCTAGAACAATCCATTTTTTAGATTGCTTCGAGCCAAGAACAAAAAGTGTTCTGTGCGACAAGAGCTACGAGTACGTACCAAAAATTGCGGGTTTTTATCAAAGTCTCAAGATTTGGATTTTTGGGATTGAGGTTTTGAAGTTTGAGTTGGGTTTTCTTGGAGTATCTACTACGTGTATTACATTTCAAGAGGTAGGACTCTTTTCCTAACTAGGTTTATTTTTAACCTAGGGTTGTATATGGAATGGGTAGAATGATTAGAGATGAAATCTCTAGTTTAAGTATACTCCTAATGCAACTTGAGTATGAAAATGGTTATAGAAATATGTTGACCAATTTAGTCATGAATTTGGTTTTTAGAAATTTCTTGTCTGTGATTTCTTGAAATATGTGATGAATGACACATGCTATGTGTTTACATTTATGCCTCGATGATTTTGGATAAAATGCCTATGTTGATTAAGTGTGTTAGTTGCATTGAAAATGTTATAACATGCTTTGAGTTATGTTGTGAATTGTGATTTTATGCTTATGATATAATTGACAATTATAAAATATTGGTTGAGATAGAATATTGTTCATAATGTGCTCATGACATATGGTAATTGCAATTGTATACTGCATTTGCATATGCATAAGTGGCATCACATTCGTTGGCAATTGACANCATAATGTGCTCATGACATATGGTAATTGCAATTGTATACTGCATTTGCATATGCATAAGTGGCATCGCATTCGTTGGCAATTGACGTGAGTGTGGGTGTGTGTGCATGATTTTGATCAAATACCGTCTACAGTGGGTTGATATGTGAGCTCGAAAAAGTTAGACCTAGGTTCAATTGAGTTTCATGGGTTGCATTGAAAAATAAGGGTTGGGATTACCAAAAAGGGCTAGATTCTCCCTCGGGTGCAAGGCTTGGTGATTTGGATATGCACTCCGTTGGTATTGAGCCCAAGTGTGTTGGCATACGCGGAGCCGTTGGTGAAAGTCCTAGTTGAGTACCTTTTGGTAGAAGTCAATAAATACCCATTCCAAGAAAGATCCAAGCTTTGTAAAATAGTCATTAGATGTTCAACATCAATGGTGGGGGCTTAGAATGGCCAGATACATACGCATGACATTGCATATATTATAGGAGCCGGTGGAGGGCTCGGGTTGCATTACATGTGTGAGTCTCACCTCATAACATGACATGACATTGTGTCATTCATCATTGAATTGTATATTCTTGACTGAATGTTTGATTTTTGTGTTGCATGTGAACATTTCATATGTATCTTGGTTGAGAAGTAGTTTCTTTAGGAGATACCCTATTGAGAATGACTCACCTTTTATGGGAATAATATTTCAAGAGTAGGACAAGCGCCAGTGGATTGCCTTCACTTGGGCCCTTGTTAATGAAGAAGCCGAGATGTGGCTTTGAATTACATTTTGTAAATAAATTGTGTAAATTCATTTTGAACTTGTAAATTTGTGTAAAGAGTTTTCAAATGGACTCTTATGGACTATAATTTGTGTTGCTGAATGTATGGATTTTTTTGGAAATAGATTGGATGGTTAAAGGTTGAAGATTGAAAAGAAATGGAAAAAATTTGGGCACAGGTACCATTACCTAAGTGATTAAGTACTGATAGCACGTTGTTAGATCGTCGAGGTACCGGTATCTCGACATACGGGTACTAGTATCTGGATTCTAGTGGGCTTAGGTACCAATACCAAGGCTTCATATACTGGTACCTCTATGGACAGTGGGCTCAAGTACCAGTACTACAACATATAGTTATTGGTACATAGCAAATAGTGAGCTCAGATATCGGTACCTGTCACTTAGATATCGAAACCTGGCAACTGGAATGAACATGAAAAATAAAGGTCCAAGTACCGGTACCCTATTACTCAGATATCGGTACCACGTGTAAGAGGTAATGGTACCTCTTTCAAACTTTTCCCAAAAAAAAAAAAATTTAAATATAACTTACCAAGCCTTCGGGCCACGAGCCTTTCTGCTTAAAGGATTTATTTGGTTCAAAATTAAGTGTGAATTGATGGCGGATGGATCTTGGAATGGTCAAGTGATTGATATGTGCATAAGTTATGCGCTTGGTAAGTGCTCCGGTACAAGGGAGACTTTGCCCAAACTCTGTGTTGGTTACAATCCCATTAAAGGGAACATGATGATGTGGTGTCGGGTTATGCGCCATTCACGGGTTGATAGGTAATCAATGGGTTAAGAAAGGACCTCTAGATGTGGGGCGTCATAGATCCTTAGTCATGGACCAAGGTAATTAAACCTATTTCTTCATAGAACCACCATTTAGCCCATAAGAAACTAATGAAATCCAAAACAGGGGACCCACCCCAAGTCTTAACTTTCCGTATAGTCCTTATATAAATTAACCCAACTCGAAAGGGGGCCACAAATTGAATCAAAGCCCAAATACAAATGATATTTTGAAGCCAATTTCCTCAGAGCCTTAATATTGCTGGATCAAAACAAATCTTGGGCAAAACTTTCAATTACTGAACCTAAAAATGAAAATGCTCAGGGAGGAAGACGTAGATGAAGAAGCTTTACACCCTTGAAAGTGCTAAAAACTATTCAGTGATAAGAGCCCTTTAGTCAAAGGATTACATGAAACAACATCCGCACAAGCAAAAAGGAAATCAATGCAAATAGGGGTAATAAAGCAACAGGGAAAAGAAAGGCACATGAAGCAAAATGTTTGAAAGTTGAGGTGGAAAACTCAAATTCACTAGTGGCACTACAACAAATTTGCTTTTTATTGACGAATTGACTCGTCGCAAAATGTATAAATTTTGTTGCAAAAAATTGTCGGTGACGAAATGATTTTGTCGCCTTAGGCTCTTCTGGGAAAGTTTTCAACGACAACAAAATTTTCGTTGCCAAAAATAAACAATAAGCGACCATAATTTTGTCGCCAAACATTCTTATTTTGTCGCCAATGTTTTGTTCTTCGCTAAAAAATAAATTATTTTAACCACACAAAATCTTTAGCAACAATTATATTTATCGCAAAAATGTGAAAATTTCAGCGATTGTCTCTATTTCGTTGCTAAAAACAAGTACACAAAATATATTTGTCACCCAAAAAGACAACTAGCATTTTAGCAAGGACTTTTTTTAGTCACCAAAAATGATGAACAATGTTTTAGCAACGACTTGTTTTCGTTGCCCAAAAAACTAAACATAATTAAATCCCATTTGGCCCTATAACAATTTAAAAACACCTATAGCAACTCAAAAACATTCCGACCAATTTCAATCATGCACCCATGACAATAGATAATCCATAAATTCGCATCACAATTACTAAAATATTCATACATTACTCAAAATATAAAATAGCATTCAACAATTTTCAATAGCATCAAATAATATCCAAAACTCTTGACAATATCCAAAAATTTTAACATCTAATATCCCAACATCTAAAATCCTAACAATAAAATATCTCAAATATTTGAAAGAAAAGATGTCTGGGTATCCAAAAAGAGCTTTTTACAATCCATCGTCAATCTGTGATAAACACAAAAAACTCATTAAAGCATTATAAATAAGAAGTAAAAGAAAAAAATATATAAATTTTGAGTTTATAGGTTAATAAATTAATATTTGACTAAGTATGTGATAATAGCAAAAAAAAAAAAAAAACATAAGTCCATAGTTAAAATTGCTTACTAAGATAAAGTTAAATTACTCAGCTCCCCAATGCCCCACCATGTTGCACTGCTAACCTCACCTCTGTCATTTGTTGCATCATCATTTCTTGCCACTTCTCCATTTGCTGGAGTTTTTCCTTGGTGTCATGCAGCTCTCTGTTTATATTTATCACCTCCTCTTCATTTGCAATAGTCTTAGACGTCTTTTTTGAAGAAGGTTTTAGTCCAACCCCATAACCTCTCTTATAGCAAGACTTGTAGCCAATGACGGTGTATGCAATCTCCTCCTCAAACATAAGTGATTCACCAGCTTGTGTGGGCTTGTCTCTTAATTCCTTCATCTGGTTCTAAAATTTTAAAAAATAACTGATAACTTGTTCACAAAACGAAACTTATCAACCTTATAAATCTCAAATACAATCGTGCTTACATGCATGTATGAGAATTTATCCTAATCCCAATGCTTTTAATAACTTCTTGGCATCATAAATAGATTCTAGAATATGGTTGCCTTTTGGTAGAAAATCCCAGAATATATCTAGTATTATATTAAAGGCCTTATTGCTCAACTTTTTCAACACCTTCACATGAAGCAGTTTTAGAATAAAAGAGAGCAAAGTAGCTTTCATACATCCTGGATACAACTCACGCTGAGCATCCTTCAGTAATTGTTCAAAATTTTGCACATCTTCCCTCCCATTGATATCATCATCTTCTCCAAAAATCGAATCCCCCAAATTATTATCCACAAAATTCCCAATGCCCACATCCTCTAACATCTCAGGTAATTCATCCTAGGCATCATTCTCAGCATCAGT